AATAAAAACTGTAGGTTTACACACTATAAACAGCAGACTTTTCAGTGTATTGGTCTACTGCATGAATGGCCTGTCTTGCTGGGGCTACAGCCTGCTCACCAGTGAAAATTGCTTATTTAATATCCATTATCTTTGTGTGAACATCTCAAAAAAATTATTTTAATACTTGATTGAGCTAGTTGTGGCACTAGAACTATCACTCCCTGCTGGATGAGGGGCAAGACTCTGCAATCTGTCTGGATTGTCCCATCTGTAAAGTTGTTCAGCTCCTCCATCGGGTGATGTAGGAATTAATTTTGCCTTCAAGTACTAACTGTATCAAATGGGCTTAGAAGAATTTTTGATAACAGAACTGTTCTCAGTCCCAGCAGTCTGCAGTGATGATTACAGGCAAGCTCTCCGTGGTAGCAACACATGAGCCAGAGGGCAGTGTGTAGTTATTTTTTTAATCCTCAGCTTGACTGTGGTGTGGGTTTGTTTTTTAGTTTTCCATTTATTTCCTGTTAAAACTGCAAACCCTGCTACTTTTTTTTTTTTATTTTATTTTATTTTTTCAAATACAACAGTCAAAGCATAACCAGTGAACATGAAAAGGGGATGCTTCTGGGGATGAATCAGCCCCTTGCATTAGAGCAGTTCCAGGATTTCTTGCATCCAGAGAAAGAATGGCATATTGATGCACAGAATCAATTTAATGCACACCTTGTCCATTTTATGAAAGATGTCCTTACAGATAACGAACTGCACCTTAACCAGTGTTAAACACAACTGAGTTGTACTTGGGGACCACTTCCATTCCCAGACTCATTCTATTTTGGGAACCATAGATCAAATCTTGGAAGTCTTTCCCAGTGCAAGTAGTTCTTGAAATGCACTGTCCTCCACCTGTATGTTTAGATAGAGTCAAGTTTAGCTGAGAGCTTTTCTTAACCCAGCAGGGAGGGTATTGTGTCTCCACTGTGGCCTTGTCTGTATTGAGAGAAATAGCTGCTGGTTCAGCTGAGCTAGTGTTGGCATTCATTTCTAGCCCAGTGTTAACGAAGTTCTTATGATCTAACTGAAGTGAGTAAACTGAAATATTAGTATGGATTAAACTGTTAGTAAAAATGCATGTATGAGATTGCATCTCTAGGAACTACAAAACACAGTAAAAACTTCAGCACCCCCTGCCCACATTGCGCATTAGGCAAAGAGGATGAAAAGAAGGCAACACTAAGCAAATCATTCCTCATCGTGTATTTGCAAGCTGTATGAACACAGAAGAGCCGTTTCCTAGAGAAGAGACCACTTCCCCTTTTATCTTTTTCTGCACTCCTCAACTGCATGTGATTTGCATCTCCCATGCCATGCTTGTTGTGAGAATAACTCGTAATACAAGCATGATTGCTCTTTTATATACTTTCATTGTATTTAGATTATAATGATAAGCTTGCCTTATTTCAAAAGCTGAGGGATGGGGAGGAGAGAATTTCTAGGGGCGCTGTCATGCACAGCCTTTTTCTGACTCTACCCACACTTCTAAATGAAGTCTGTATACTCTATTTCTCTGACCTTTCCCTATCTAGACATCAAAACACACTGGCCCAACTGCTGTTCTCCTAGTGTGCCTACGGTTGCCATTAATCTCCCTTTCTTATACAGCTCTTCATTCCTTTTCCTTACCTTTGGCCTCAACTCTTTATTCAAAGTGATAATTTGCTGGCTTTCTGCCGGAGGGAGAAGCTATGATCAATAACAGGAGGAGACAGGGGTCAGCAGAATAGTGATAAGCAGTGCCATTTGCTTCTCTGAAAATACTGTTACCCAAAAATATCAATAACTGGTATGATATTATTTTAACTTTTGGATAAAGCATCAGTGAGATTTAGTCAGCCTGCAGTGGGAGCAGGGGTCTTTCCTCTCATAATTCTTTATTTCAGCCAATCTTCTAACATGGGGAAGCGGACAGAAAGGGCTTTAGCCGGCTCATGTTGGAATACAGACCATGTACCCGAGCACAGCCATCTCTGGGACTAATAACACCTCTTTCAGCTCCAATATGTGGTGACTCTCGTGTGCTGTGCTTTGCCTTCTGCCTGGTGGTGAGTCAGAGCCCATCTCCAGCCTCCTCTTGCAGATTTTAGGGTAGAAGAGCCACAAAGGAAACCCTCCCCAAGGCTGGAGGAGAGCAGAGGCTCATCGATACTGTCTAGGTATCACAGAATGTCATACAGTCCTCAAGTTTGGGGCACTGGAGTAATACTAGAGTCTAATAATTTTGGTATTGGCTGGTACAATATAGAACATTTATTAAATAAAAGGATAATACTGTTTTATCAATGTATTAGCCTGCATTACTCCAGACAGCAAGGTGACTAATTTCTTGGTCTCCTTTTTCCAAGAACTTCAATTTACTTTGCTTTCAAAAGACTATAAATCCTTACTTCTCATATGCACAATAACTCTCACCCTGTCTTTGTACTACTGGGACATAGTTATTGCCAGTCCTGTTCCTGTACCTGCTGGGGATGCACATTCCTCTTTTTTTCCTAAGAATTAGGAAGGGGGGGTGTGTGTGTGAGGGGAGGTAATTATTCATTGAGATATTTACGTACTCCCAGACTAAGCTCTGCTCCTGAAATGCATTAATAGTATTACTACTGTAAACACTCATCAATCCTCTGTTGAGCCAGTTGTATTTTAACGTGGGGGAGGCTGAGCTTTAGGCTTTAAGGTGCATCTAAGTAATCTTTTCAAGCTTTTCTAATTCACAGTCATCTAAAATGTACTTTTTGTTATTAAAAGTGAAAATGTTTATTTGTTCACATTTGAAATGAGCACAAAAATAGGAGATTTCTTACAAAGTGAGAGTTTCACCACAGTGTCATGTGGTATGACTTTCATATAATTTCTCCAAAATGTTAGGGCATTTATTTTTGTCTAATATCTGCTTCTCAGGAAGATTTTTCTCAAATTCCATATTTCACCTTTCTTAATTTCATCTCATTATGTGGGTTTCTTCTTCCCACTGTTGTCCTAAATGAATACTTCTATTAGCTGCTGCTTAATAATTAAAAAAAATGCAATGAGAAATGTTGAGGAAGAAGTACCCCTAACCACACCTTGGCTCTCCCCTTGTTTTTTTCTCATGCATTTAAAAGTTCTGTGGTGGTTGGTTTGTTTATTGCTTGTTTTTTGATAAACAAAATCAATCACCAAAAAAACCGAACCCCAAATGCAAACACTCCCAGGTGTTCCTGATTCCTGGTTCTCTTTGAGTTCTAGTGCCTTGTTTTTCCTGTCTCCCTTAAGACTTCATTTCTTTATCTGTAAAAGCTTAACTGCCCTGGCTTTAGTAAGTCTAATTTGAAAAGCATGTTGAAGTCCTCAGGTAAAAGTATAATGACATGATTTAGTATGGTTAACCCAAATCAGTTTCTTGTGTTTTTCCAGCTCATAGTGCAAAGCATTCTCCTGAGTTACATTTGCTGGGTTACTGCTAAAGCATGCTTTTTCTGTTGGCTCTGTGGTTATCCGTTGCTGCCTATAGAGCACTGCTTTAATACCACCTGATTTGATCACTAGCTTGACTTCGTAAGTGTTCTGATACTCCTGGTGCAGCCTTCTGCTCACTTCCAACCACCCCAACCACTTTTGACCTGGGGGGTCAACATCAATTCAGCTAGACAAAGGAGGCTCAAACATAATGTGTTCCTACTCGTGATTTTGTGTAGCTAGCTGAAGCGATCTTATTCATTCCCTCGGAGCAGCAGAGAAACGGGCATTTTCATTTTTGCAGTGGGCTGCTGGGTCAGTCAGTCAGCACGTACAGGTGCTACCGGGGCTGCGTGCCCAGCCACCTGGCCCCACAGAGGCAGGCGTGGGAGAGCCAAGGGGGTGGCAGGGGCTTGGGGCAACATGGGAGGCACTGCAGTCCTCGTGCTGGATGGAGGACATGCACCTGTGCGAAACCAGGCTTTGCCAGTGTGGCTGCTGGGCAGGGCAGACCTGCTTGGTTTTGTGTTGCTCCAGGGACTGTGTTAACAGGCGAGTGGAAAAGCCTTGTTAGCTCCCAGACCTCAGTTGCCTTCAAACCACTCATCCTGCTCCTGGGGTGCGCCAGTCTGCCTCAGGATCTGTTGTCAGAGGGCATCTTCAAGCAGCAAGAAGGTTAAATCCCATGGCCCACTCGGTAGGTAGGAGTGTGATGCATAGCTAGAGGCTGCCAAGCTTTCTGTTTCAAGCCAAGTGAGGATGAGATGCACACTGTGTTCACCCTCAGAGATGACACGGGCTCCCCTCCCTATCGGCTGCAGTGGCTTGGAGGACAAAATGGCTCCAGAGCTCTGCACACACTGACACCCTTTCAAAATACAGTGATGTGGTGTGTTCACATCAAAAGCATCTCCATTTCATAGGAAGGTACAACTGAAATGAGCCAGGCAGGGTTAGTTGTGCTGCTGTTTTATGTCCTGTGGATGCCATCTGCAAGGATGGGCAGAGCCCCGCTCTCCCTGATGCTGGGCACCCCGTAGCCCTGAGAGTGCAGCCGCTTTCAGTTGCTCATGGTAAGGTTATGTTTCGATTAGATTTAGAAATGAAGTTTATATCTTTACCAGTTTAGCCAGCTACTTGTTCAAGAGTGACTGTAATTTACAATTTTAAGCTTCTATTTATGCCACGCTGCACACTGGGCATAGTAATATAGTATCCCTTTTGAAGTCAGGCCACATCTGATAACAGACACACTTTCTAGGCTCCTTGTAGAAATCATCAGCTGCTTGACTGGGATGACCTAGGAACCGTCAGACAGACTGAAAAAAAAAACCCCACCAAAACCCAACTCGCACAGAGGAAAAGAATGAAGAAATACAAAAGGAAACCCCAAGCATCAATACCAAGAACATAAACCCCAGACCTCAGCGGCTGCCTGGCTGCGAGGCAGAGGAAGACGCGTGCTTGGGCGCTGCCGCCGGCAGGCGGACTCCCAAAGCCCTCAGAGGAGCTGAGCTTCCTGCGGGGCTGGCAGACGGGCAAAGCCTGCGGAGGTGCCTCTTCTCCTCCTCCGCCCGTGGCTTCCCGCTCCCCAGCACGCCTCGGGGAAGCAAGATGAAGTGGACGAGGATTGCCATCTTTGCCATCTTGCATGCACAGCTCCCAGGCACAGGTAAGGGAAGCTTTATTTTACGAGGGCTATTTTAAAGCTGTACTTGAGGGAAGAGCATGATGTTTCTGTGGTGGATTCGCGACCATTTTGGTAGCAGGAGGGTATCCGCGTGAGGCCTTCAGCCACGTCTGACCTCCTAATCATGGTTGAAATCATGGCTGCCTGTGAACAAAGCGGCCGGACTCGTGTTGTACTGCCCTGCGATACGGGGACACGGCAGAGGGCTGGGAGGAGAAGGCAAGGACAGCCGTTGCTGTCGGTGCGGCCTCCTCTTCTCCTGCCGGAGTGATTGCCGCAGCTCAGCAACAACTCATCATAAGGCTCTTGGCCCTCACCTGGCTGGCTTTCCTTGCCATTTAAAAGGGGAACTTTGATAAAACGATGAAAATGTAGTCACTTGCAGTAATCTGCGTAAGAGGGGCTTTTAATGTAGTTAGGTAAAATTAGAGCCATGTTGCTCGTACCGGCGTGTCGGGTGGTTGGTTTGCAGTAAACTGCATACCCATCAGGCTGGAAATTGGGGGGGACGTAGGTGATGAGAAGGGTAGGATCCTTCCTTTTGTGTCTCTGCATTCATGCTTGTCTCTGCTAGACACAGTGTAAAACGACTTTTTACCTTTAGATATTCAATTGTGGTGGTGTATGTGCTGGCCCCACTTGGGCAGAAAGTGAAGCAGCTTTGGAATGCACAAATCCTCAAAGGTGCATCTCTTGGGGAGATAAGAATGTACTTCTCAGTAGCTAGGTAGGCGAAGGAGCAACAGTATTTATATCCAGAGAAGGCCTCAACTGTGGCCTGAATTTGGAGAAGACAGCCAATACTAGTAGGCCAAGTTTGAACTTGTATTAAACCAAAAGCTGCTGAAAGAGTTTCCCCCACAATGTATGCCATACTTAACAAACACACCATCCTTACAATGAAAAGCTTTGGGAACTGCCGCAGACTTTTTATTTGAAAGTTTTCTGGAGATTAGAGAAGGGTTTTACAGCCGCTTGCTGATGTTGTGGAGCCCGTTAGTTTGTGGAGGCTATGTTTCAGGAGGATTTAAAGCAGAGTTGTGTGCTCTGTGATAGGCAGGGCTTATGTCCATTCAAACACCGGGGCCTCTGTCCCTTTTTGATACCCAAGTATGGTTCTGTACTTAAGTATGATACGTCTGGTACTTATATTTTGTACATTGCTTTGTATCCATAGATGTGTCTAGGGCTATAAAGGTATGGAGATTACTTTGGGTCAAAATGCATCTTTGCATTTTCTCTTTTAATCTGTCACAAGATATCAGTAGTTCAGGCTCCTATTTGTATGTTTTTAGCAGAAAACATTTACTGAAAAATATGTAATGTAGTTTGCAAATGGGTAGAGCTAGCCCTATAGAGGTCTCTGGTGCAAAGCTCTTAGGGGTATTCACACTCACAAAGAATACATGGGATCAAATTTTGAACAGGCTACAATTATGATTTGGAGATTGTTGTCAATTTGAGGGGGAGTATTTTTGATTGGATACCTGTAATAGTTTGAAGAATAGTATTTAGCCTAAGAGTATAGGTAGAATAAAAGAAATGTAGCTCAAAATTTGTGGAATTGTCGCTACATCATTGATGCAAAATACACCGAACTACATTAATGGTGATCTTACATTTTTGTACTAAGATGAAACCAGACATGTTTTTTCAGCTCAGAGCTATGATCAGAAGCAGAGATCTGCTGCTGCCTGCAGTGTTTTCAAGACCTCTTAAAGTGAAGTGAACTTTTACTTTTTCATAACCTCAGAGTGGACAGAGATTCAGTAAGCTGTATACCACCTTACAGTCAGTTCATTCCACTTCATTATAATGCATTTTGTGCTTATTCTTCAACTGGTCAGTTGAAAGATGCTACCAAGATTGGGACTGATGAGCTTGCAAAGCCTTTCCTTTTGATCTTTTAAGTACTGAAGTGTCAGATGTGAGAAAAAATTTGTTTTAAAATAAGTAATGCTAGAAATGGGCCATAGTTCTGATGCAGATTTTCAAGTATTGACACCAGACCGCAAATTTCTGAATGCTCAGATTTGGCCTTTGAACAATTACAGAGGGAAGCCATGTCACACACATTTAGTTTTTTGTGTTTCCCCCTTCAAAGTTACAAAAGCGTACATCTGGAAGTTTAGCTGAGGTCTTCCTATAACCCCTCTGTTAAAAAGTGCGTAAAAATAAATAATTTTAATTTCTGAGCAGATAACTTTATTAATCATGTTTGTTGAGACACAAGAAAAATATTAAAAGACTTCTACCCAGATATCACAATTAAAATGGCAAAAATCTTCATAGGGTTTACAGACCTTTTAGTCTGAAGTATGACAGGCTTCAACAGCAATACAACAGTACTGTGGGCAATATTGTAGAATCACTTCCCCTCCCCCCCCTTTTTTTTAAGGCTGATGAGATGACACCTTGATTTGTACAAATACACAACACACACATGTATATGTGCAAGAGTTCAAGGAGAGCCCTTCCCTGTTCTTCTTTACAAAATCACTTTTCTTAGAATCGTCTGCTAAACAGAATTGGACAGTGTCCTGTTTTTTGCTAACTCTGCGGAAACTAAAACATGTCAGACTTTGGCAGATATTACTTGCACGGCTTATTTTCACAATATTTTGCTGCTCTGCATAACTGTCTTCTGCCCATTGGGTGCCATGATGCCAGGAGCCTTTTTTAAATCAGTTCATGGACAGGAAGATAAAATGGATAGGTAATGGGTCTTAGGGTTCATTTGTTCCTTCCTTTTCATCAGATGACTTGGCAGGTCTGCAAACTACAAGGTTTTAAAGCTATAAGTTGTTTACAAGCCTGTCTGGAAAATCCAAACCAGTAAATACAGACTATTTTGGCTAATGTCCCCATTCCTTATGCGCTGTCTTGAGTTCTCCTTGCTGAATTCTTGTTACACCTGGGGGAAAAGGGGGGGAATAAATGCTTAATTTTACATGTTTTATTTCCCTTTTCTCCTGCCTGTTCACAATGATTCATTAATAATTCATGGAAAAAACTATGAACTGGCACATCAGTGAATGGAACAAAATGTAGGCAAATGTAGCCTTTCTTTGTAAAGGGACATTTGCTGAGCTCTTGCAGTGCTATATTCAATTCTCTAATGCTTGTTATAGAGCGAGTGCTTTCTATCTGAACCCTTCCAAGCAAAATTCCTAATGAGTGAAGTAACAAGTTAATGATCACATTCCTTTTAGTTTTTTGTGTATGCTAGATGGGAAGCATGTACAAAATGGAGAAAGGTATCTGAAAATATATTTATATTTCTCCTTCTAAAGTAAGACTGAAGATGAAAAGGAAATTCACTAGCAGCTTAAAGGGGATGAGAACTTGATTTATAAATGAACGTTCATGTGAGGAATGCTTTTGACAGCCATTTTCTGTTATTCACACAAACTTGAATTGTGTCTAACACTATAAGTAAACGCAGGCAAGGAAAAAATAATAGATAGATATTATAAAAAAAAATTTCTTTCCTAACTATCTCCAAACTGTAACCAAACTCTATTTAAAAAAAGAAAAAATGCTTACTTGTGCAATTGCAGATAACCATCGAATCCCCCTCCCCTCCTCCAGTTCATCACATATTTGAATGCCTATATTGTATGTAGAACTGTAAGATGCTTCAGCTTTTCTGGCAAGAAAATAGAGTGACTTTTTAGGGTGACATGAATGGAAGACATAACTCTTAATACTTAAAATATGAATCCTGTTAAAGGTATCTATTTGTCCATGTGCATATACTTGTATGTATATCGTTGATTTTCATTGTTCTACTGATATGACTTTGGTCAACAGCTAAATTAAAGTTTCACTGTTGTTTCTTTTTAGCATTAAGAAAACAATTTATACTAGTCCAGAGTCTGCAAGAAGCTGAAATTTTACAGACTTTTCAGATTTGCACTGTTGTATAACATAATATTTTGAGACTGGGTTTGAATGTTATCTTCTTAAATTCAGTTCTGCTCCTTTAAAGAATATGTAGTATTTTTAGCTTTTAAAATATGTGACAGTCCCGATCAGATTTTTTTTTTCCAGAAAAGCAATGAAGACATTTAACTACACTTTGTCCTTTGCAACTGATTTATAGCTTCATATATAAATGTGCAAGTAAATGAAAAGCTTAGTTTGCAGTTCTTCAGTCTACTCCCTCAAATGCACAGATCATGGAAGACAGTGGAAATGCATGTATTTAGACACACACAATGGATATATCCATCTTTGTGAAAGTTAGACTTATCAACGTGTAGTTCTTTCAATCCTTTGACAATTTAGCTATTAAAAATAGAAGTGAAAACGGCTAGCTCCTAAGCCTCGGAGATCACAAGCACTAATGTCTATGCAAGTTCTGTTTAAGGGATAGAAGCCATCTCGATTTTTGAACCCTATAGATTGGAAATATTTGAATCTCTACATGTTTACTAGGAATAAACCATCAACCTTTGGAAGCTCTTTATGTATTCTGCTCTCAATACTTTGTTATATGTCTGTTGAGTCTTACCAGAAGAACAGCAAGTTTGGAGTTTTCCATCTTCATGTACTTTTGATATGTGAGGGTATGTTAAACATTGTGCTTCTTGCAAGCAGGTTGCGAAGCCTGATGAAATGGTCATGCTGTTTGGCCTGTTTCTTTCATGGGATGTAATTGTAGTGAAAACTGCATCTGTATCCTGACTCTTTCTGAGTAGCAGAACTTTTTTTTTAAATTTATTTTATTTTTAAGTGAAGGAGAAGCCCTAATGATAATGCAACTCTTTGAAAGCTTACATGATAATACAGAAGTGAAATATATACCAAATTAGAATGTGATGGAAGCTGACAAGGGAAAAAGGTTAGAAAATTTTCAACAAATGATATAATAAACTGTAGTAAAACACACTGAGTAAGTCTAGAGAGTGGCTAGCTGTCAACACTTGTGGGATTTTTTTAAAGAAATCTCACATATGATTTACTTAAAATTCAAGCTG